AGGTTCGCACAACGAATATCTGTCGTTTGTCGGGCTGCCATTCTTCGTGATCTTGTGCATATCGGGCCATCATCGTGAAGGGCGAGACAGTACTGAGCCAGAGAAAACGTGAAGGCTCCCGTCTCGCGAGCCTCCAGACGGTGCCTGCACTCACAGGGCTGCTCTGCCAAGATGTACTTTGTTGACCTATGGACTGCCTTGCCTTCTGAATATCGGGCCATCTTCGTGAAGGGCGAGTCAGGACGGAGCCGAAGTAGACGTGAGGGCTCCCGTCTCGCGAACCTCCAGACGATGCTTGTACTCACGTCAGTATTAGTCTCAGTTGCAACCGGAGTCGTCCTCCCAGGTCTCGGCGGTGGTTAGGCCTTGCACATCAGCTTTACCCACGGGGGCTTCACAAAAGTCCTCGAGGCTATGACAGCGGTCGAAATTCGTGAAGTCCGCTCTGTCTCACCTCCGCTCTGTCTCACCTCCGTGAAACCCGGGAGGAATGCCTCCCGGGTTTCACGGCACCAAAATGTTTAGGCCGTGAAACCGTCCCACACTATGTCCCACACATTACTGTCCCACACTACGTTGTAACTATGCCCTCTAACCGAACATATTTACCTGTTATCAATTACAGTTTCATAAAGCAAGTGCTACCTCAAGGAATTTCGGTTGCCACACTAATACCCTTAATCGACGACGTCACCAGTTTTGTGGCAGACGTATGTCTCGATCAGTCATGTCACCCGCAATATCTCACGTGCCTCGATGCGACATTATGCTCCATGATCGCTCTGGACCTCAAAACCTGAGAAGTCAGCCGCGCTATGCCGCCTTCTGTCTTGATACTGCGACATATTTGACATCGACAGCCATCCACTCGGCCAGACTTCACTCCTCAAGCACCGCATTAACAGAGGTGATTTTCTTCCTATTCATCGCCGACCATACCGGGTGTCTGGTCCCGAGAGTAAGGTAATTCAACAGGAAGTCGCCAAGACGCTAGCCAACGGGATTATTGACTCCTCTTTGAGCCCTGGGCACCCATCCTTTTGCTCGTTAAAAAGAAAGATCACACGTGGCGCTTCTCCGTTGATTACTGACATCTCAATAGAATCACAAAAGAGGATGTTTATCTTTTGCCCTGCATCGATAACGCTCTCGATTGTCTCCGCGGCACCCGATACTTCTCTTCAATAGACCTATGTTGCGGCTATGGGCAGATTGCTGTTGACTAAAAATATCAAGAGAAGACTGTGTTTGTAACTCCACATGGCCTATACCAGTTCAAGGTTATGCCGTTTGGGCTATGCAACGCTCCAGCCACGTTCGAGCACATGATGGACTCTCTGCTACAAGGGTTCCAATGTTCATCATGTCTTTGTTACTTTTGTGATGTCCTTGTATATTTCCCAACATTTGAGACTCACCTTTAGCGTTTCTCAGCTATTCTCGACATATTCCGCACTGCAGGCCTTCAATTAAACTCGTCTAAGTGCCACTTCGCAGGCCGGCAAATTATGGTGTTGGGTCACCTTGTCGACGAATCAGGTGTGCAGTCCAACCCCCAAGTCAGTCAAAGATGTTCGGAGTGTTGTAGAACTTTGTTCCTATTTTAGAAGGTTCGTGAAAGATTTCGCAACCATCGCTCGACCCCTCAATGAGCTTCTGAAGAAAGACGTCACTTTTACGTGGGGTACTGGCCAAGCTGCTACTTTTTATCACCTAATCAGGCTACAGACGACTCCACCTATAGGTGGAGTCATCATACCCTATCATCACCCACCACACCAACAGAATTCCAAACCAATGTTAGTGGTCGCGGGATCTGAGTCGTCCCAGCCCAATGCCAACGGGGACACAACCGAGTTATCACCTACATTAGCCGCCTCCTCACAGCTGCTGAGTGTAACTATTCCATTACAGAGCATGACTGTCTTGCTCTTATTTGGGCAGTCTCAAAGTTCCGCCCATATTTATATGGCACAACTTTCTCTGTAATAACTGACCATCATGCGCTATGTAGGCTTACGTCACTGAAAGATCCTACTCGCTGGCTCGGGCGCTGGACTCTGTCACTGAAAGAGTATACCTACATGGTGACGTACAAGTCCGGACGCCTACACCAGGATGCAGACTGCCTGTCCCGTTACCCGGTCGCTGAATCAAGCACTATGCCTGACATTGACATCAACCCTTGCGTCTTTTCCCTTTCGCAAATGACATGCATCGGTGACAAGCAGTGCCGTGATGCGTCCTTACGTGTTATCGTCTAGAGCCTCGAATCACCATCTTCTAATCAGTCCCATCGCTCATTCGTGCCCCGCAATGGTGTATTATGCCGCCACAATTTTGAGCCGGATGGAGCGGCCCTGCTGCTTGTCATTCCGAAACACCTTCACTCGGAAGCTCTACACGAACTTCATGACCTTCCGACTGCCGGTCACCTTGGTGTGTCACGCACTTACGACCAAATCCGTCGACGCCTTTTTTGACCAGGGCTTGCACGCTCAGTCAGAAGATACGTTGTGCCTTGTGAGAAATGTGAGCGCCGTAAAATGCCATCGACGCTTCCCGCTAGACGCCTTCAACAACTTGACATTCCGTCAGAACCGTTCTTCCGCGTTGGCTTGAACCTACTCGGCCTTTTTTCCTTGTCTTCCTCGGGTAACAAGTGCTTAGCCTGTGGCCACCGGCTACGCCACGCATTATGCCATCACATGAGCTCTTCCAACTAGCTGCACCACAGATGTCGCCGACTTCCTTCTCAAAGACGTGATTTTGCAACACAGAGCTCCACGGCAGCTGCTTAGAGACCGTGGCCGAACCTTTTTGTCGAAGGTTTATTTATTTATTTATTTACAACACAAAACTGTTGGGGGTTCCTCAAGCAAAAAGCTGTTAAAACAGCTTGAGGAGACCTGGGGAACCTCCAGGTCTCCTCATATCTACACAATAGATCTACACAAAAGATCTACACAAAAGATCTACACAATAGATCTTTAGGCTATTTTGCATTATTTCGTTTGGGATTTCAATTTTTTTGAACCAATTTTCATCATCCTTTTGAATAAATTTAGAGCTGATGGAAAAAGCAATGAAGCAGCAAGCTGCAGTTTGGTGAGGCTCCTACAGAGATGAGCAGCAAGCCCTTGTAAATATACAAGTTCAGTAGCTAGGATGAAGTAAATTAGGTTAAGGCACCATGAAAAATTTATCAAAAATACAAGTTCAGTAGCGAACTTCGAGCATGTCCTGTGGAGCTGTGCCTTAACCTGTCCCCCTTTCCAAGAAGAGGAAATGAACAAGCTGATAAAGGCCCAGGACCTCGCCTTTCATGTCCTGTCCGTCCAGAAAGCCCACACGAGGGCGATCAGGTTAAGCCCACTCGAAAACGGTCAGGTTTAACCTGACTGTCCCTGAGTGTGCCTAGCTAGGTGACGTTGAGTTAACTTGCGTCTATTGTGGACCCAATAAAGCTATTTCACTCACTCACTCACCTTGTCTTTTTTGTAGCAAAAGGTAGCTCATGACTCTCTTATCGTGCGTGCAAACCTCATTTGAATGAGTGTGCAAAGGCTATTTATTTAGAAATTTTTTTGAGGTGCCCAATAGCTGTTTCGGTTTCAAAGAGCACCAAGCTAGGCAGGAGCAGCTTCGGTGGCAAGATAAACACAGCTGGTCACGTGATGTCGAGTGCGAGCGAGCACCGCACTGACAGCTAGCACCGCACTGACAGCTAGCACACACAAAGCCACAGTCATGGAGGAAGAAATCGCTGGTAGCGCAAGCAGACAGCCAGCACAAACTCGTGATGCAGGTCTGTTTACATTGTTGCCCCGTTGATATCAGCATTGCAAGGGGCTCTCCATCTCACTCAGTTGCATGGGAGGCACTTTAAAATTGATTTTAATTATGTCCTGATCTATAATTGCCCGTGATATTTCGAAGACATTGCATATATCTGCATATGATTCTGTCTCACTGATTATCTTGCCTCTGAAATTTTGTGTCAGTGCACCTTTAAGTTAGCATATAGGTCTCTATTTACTGTGTTGCTAATAATGGGATCTATACGATTAGATACAGCTGACAAGTTTATGCACAATCCTGTTATTTATACATCTTCCTCTCAATTAAGTGAACTTCAAGGAGCCTGTGAAAATAGTTCACTTAACTGGAAGTTCACTGAATTGATTATTAACTAGAATACAGAATAGCATGGGACACAACAGAAGTCAAATAAAATGTGTTAACTACAATTTATTTTTAATAAAAGAATTCTATCATTTCCATTTGAGCCGACACCCTTAATGCACAAGAAGAGAGATAAAGCTGCCCAAAGAGCATGCATTTCTGTGCACTCAGGAACACGTGTGCTAGATATTATATTGCAGCACACTGTCTGAAATTCACAATAAATAAATAAAGTCGGCATAGGATCGCTTTCTTTTCTCTGGACATATGACTCTACAGGCTCAAAATCACTACGTTCGAGGCCATGTATCAGCCATGGGCTTATTTGAGCATAGGAGACTCTGTCCTTAAAGCTGTGAGTTGTCCACACGTGTGCTCAGGATTACACCAAAAAGCCATGCTTATGAACACAAAAAGAGCGTCGAAGTCATGGGGTGTGCTGGACACATTTTCTCTTCCGCCACCCCTCCCTTCTTAGCTACTAGCGCCTTTGTTGGGACGAAGGAAGAGGAGATTGCAGTGTGCGAAAAATCTTCGTAACTCGACTCGTACTGGCCGGATTCTGAAAATTTTGTGTTGGTGAGTTTGTAAGGCAATGAGCTCCTTCAGCAAATCCATTCTATGACTACTTAGAAAACGCGGGTGGTAAATGCAAATGGGTGTCAAGTGATCTGGCTCTACTATTGTTCAAGCTTGGGACGTGCTGATGAGAATGTGAACTGTGCGGCCTCGTAATGCCATTTTCGCTCTTCAGTGTCACTCATTGCGACTCAGAGAGCAATGTGGTGGAAGTTGACTGCGGTTCACCTTTGCAGAGGCAGCCCAGCTCGGGGTCGCGGCGACAGGACGGTGGCATGGCTGCGGCCACCGCAGACGGGGGTGCGGTCATCCGGCTCAGTGGCCACACCCTGGACAAGGCCACTAAGGCCAAGGTGCACCTGGAGAACTACTACTCCAACCTGGTCACCCAGCACCTGGAGCGCAAGGGCCGCCACGAGAGGCTCGAAGAGACCATGCGCGAGGAAGGCCTCTCGGAGGAGCAGGTCAGTTACATAGCTCTGTGATGTGTGAAAGTTTTTCTGAATGCAACATTCAACACAAAATGAGGTCCTATTGTCAACAATCTCTGCAAAGGAAGCGTCGCCGTACTCTTAACAAATGGCAGATTTTCGTAATCTGCAAGACCACTTTTCTGCTATGCAGTTTGACCTACTAAGGGCAGCTAACCTCTTGCTAAAAACAATGTACTCAAACCCAGTTTGCTCGTGCTTTGACATAAAAAGTGTCTACTCGGCTGTCTTGACATAGACATGGATAAGAGACTAGCCCCAGCACATGCATCTAGGACCTTGTTTCTCCTAGAAGCACCACCGGTGTTGTCATTAATAGGGCGAATATACATCACAGAGAAACGCACTTCAAGATGAGGAGCATTTCCTATTCTGATGGTGCCAATCTACTGACAAAATGAATGTGCATAATGAAGGTTCAAATGAATTTTTAATGGCCTAGCTGCAGGAAAAAAACAAAAAGGTCTTTGTGCTCATAAAGAATTTTTTAAATGTATTGCTTTGCATAAACATTTTTCCAAGTGCTCATGCCTCACATTTCTTTTCTATTTATTCCTAAAGTGTGCGCCGTATTTTCCTAATGATTTTTTTTTTTGTCTTTGACTCCTTCCTTATCAGGGGAAAAATAAGTGTTTTTCGTAGGTTTCAATAGATCTTTTTTACTGAAAAAACTACTGCACCTAATATTTTATGTAATAGATAAAATTAAAGCAGAACGAGATTTTTCTGCATAGAGTTATTTACAAGATGTATGTTATGCAAACAATGTAGATTTCTAAATTGAAGGTTGTGGGGCATGACTGCACGAAGTTTCTAATGACCCTTCGGGATGGAATTTGTGCTGTGGTTTTGGTGCACATTAAAGAACCCTAGGTGGTCAATCTTTCTGGAACCCACCACTTCAGCACATCTCATAATCGTATGGTGATATTGGGACGTTAAACCCCATCTATGAATCAATAAATTAATCGACTAAAAAAATAACAAATTATGATATACATCATGTGCTGTCATAATATAGGTGGCATTGCAGGAAAATTTAAAATTTTTTAGTGGAGAGGACTTCGCTGACAGGAGTTACTGTAACCACTACTATAAACATGACACGCTCTAAAGCAGTTCCTCAGTGTAAGGTGTAGTGTAATGGGGCATGTCTTGAAGGAAACTTGTTTCTGCTTGGTTTTCTAGGTGCACTTTACAGTAATATCTCATTCGTACTCTCTTATCTCGAAAAATCGGCTAAGTCAAAATCTTCCATGGCACTGAACATTTTCCTATACGTCCCATGTATACTTTTCCCTTTATCTCGCAGTATTTTTGGGTTGGATTGCGGATAACTCGTAATCTTGACTGAGAGCGGAATGGAAAATCTGCTGCCGGACTATTTCAGAAGATTCGCGCGATGCTGCCTTGCCTGAAGTTCGTTGATTTTTTTTTTTTTATTTATCCGTGCCGGCCACTACGTCGATGCTTTCTGCGAACGCAAAGTGCATGAAGTCTCAGCCCAGCGACATATCAACTTTGTCAAGCAACCCTGTAGCCGCTCATGTGCTCAAGGAGTAGTTAATAGTAGTAGTAGTAAACTTTTATTTAGAAAAAAAAAAAAACACAGGTTGCTAGGGAGACCAGCCTCTAGTGGGTCAGCCTCCCTGCAGTACTAGGTGGAGTCCCCAGCCAGGGACACCATCGGTCGTGGCCGCTGTCCTTGCACGCCGCACTATGGCTCGTTGGGCCGCAAGGTCCTGGCAACCGAGCAGGGCCGCCTCCCAGTCCTCTCTTGTTGGATTTGGGTTCGCGGGTAAAGAAGGATTGAGCTGGCATGCCCATACCATGTGGTAGGTGTCAGCCACCTCTGCACAGTACTGGCAGATGCCGGAAAAGGAAGAGTCAAAGTGTTTAAGCACTGCCGGGCACAGTAAAGTATTGGTAAATAGCCGGAGAAGAATTCTCTCGTCTGCCTTCCTAAGTCCTTTGCAGGGCGGAGGAAAATGGCGGTGGGAGTCCCGGTAATAGGTAATTATCTCTTTATAAGTTAGGAGAGGTGGGCGAGGCAGTGGCCCGGGGAATGAGTGCGCAGGCGGCAGCGTGCACCACCTCATTGCCTGCGAGGTCATGATGGCCAGGAGTCCAGATTATTAAACGCGGAGAGGGGTAACCTACTTGCAGACAAGATTTAGGAATTTTGGCTGCTAGGGGTGTGATCCATCCCAGTTGAAAATTTTGGCAAGCTCCTTTAGAGTTTGATGGAGTCTGATGATATAATTTGAGAACTGTCGTGTGACATAACCACAGCTATGGTCACCTCTTCAGCATAGGTAGCATTGGTTGCACGGAAGGACAGACCATCCACCTGCCTGTCTTGGAGGACCACGGCGACCGTATACCAACCCCCGCGGTAAGGGCAGGCGATGTCCGTGTAAAATACGTTTTGTTTACAGCCGAATTGGCGCCGGAGAGCAAGAGCCCGCGCCTATCGACGGTCAGCGTGCGACTCACACATATTGGTGGGGAGGGGTCAAACATGAATCGCGTATTTCCAATGTTTGGGCACTCGTACCCGCTCCTTTGTGTAGAATTGATGCCGAATGTGTAGGCGATCTTGGAGTCGTCTGCCGGACGGGGTCTGCGCCAGACGCGTGTATTGATTTGTTAGGTGAGCCTCCCGGAGCTCCCGATAGGTGTTTACCACTCCCAACGCAAGAAGTTTTGCATTGGATGTAGTGATTGGGATATCTAGGGCTCTCTTGACAATTTTGCGTAGGGTGACCTCCAAGGAATCTTCATCGTGCTTCCGTAAATGCAGATATGGAGTCGCATAAGGATGTGACTAGTGACAAAAGCATGTGCGAGACGAAGCGCAGCCTTGCTTTTGAGACATCCCCGCTTGTTGGAGACTCAGCGGACCATGCGGCCCACCGTTCTCCAAACTTGCGCAGCTTGTGAAGTGTTGTCTCGACCCTGCGGTGTTTGTGAATGGGGAGTCCAAGGACACGGATCTTCTGTGCCTCATTAATAGGTCCACTATGCAGGGAAAGGTTGATAAACGAAGTGCACTTCACGGATGGTCGAAGGTGCACGAATTCGGACTTCTGTGGGGAACACTGGAGGCCGCAGTACACCGCATATTCGTCCACTATATGGGCTGCGGTTTGCAGGCTGTCCTCCATGCTGCCCAGGCATCCTTTTGTAGCCCACAGAGTGATGTTGTCGGCATAAAGCGCATGCTTTACCCCTTTGACAGCAGCCAAGCGGGCCAGAAGCTGTGCCATAGCTAAGTTGAACAGCAGAGGCGACAACACAGTGCCCTGTGGTATGCCTCGTGTGCCCAGGGGATAGGGGTCGTATTCCTGATCTTGGATGCGAATGTACGCAGCTCTGTCAGCAAGAAAGTTTCGGATGTAGTTGAAGGTGCGCTCGCCGCAGTTGGTGGCACTTAGGTGAGCTAAGATGACTTTGTGCTTGACATTATCGAAGGCTCCTTTAAGGTCAAGCGCTAGAATGACCTTGTCCTTGTGGGGGTCTTCTACGGGATTAGGTACTTCGTGGTGTAGTTGTTGGAGTATGTCCTGTGAAGATTTCTTGGGCCTGAAGCCATGCATAGAATCGGCGAAAATGTGGCGCTCTTCCAAGAAGAGAGAGACACGATCTCTGACCATAGTTTCCATTAGCTTCCCTGCACAAGAAGTAAGCGAAATGGATTTGAGATTCTGAGTGTTAATCGGTTTTTTTTGACTTTGGAATAAAGGTTACTAGAGACGTTTTCCAGTCTAGTGGGAGGGGCGTTTTTCCGAACCACATTGCAGTAATATAGTCAAGAAGCCACTGGTCCGCTGCATCGGGTAGATTTGCCAGCATTTTAACGGTAATTTTGTCTCGCCCGGAAGCCGTACCTCGCCTCATTTTGGCAAGAGCAGCGCGAAGGTCGTGTAACTGGAAAGGAGCATCCAGGGCCGAATTCTCTCTGCCTGCATAGCCTTACGCGGAGCCTTGCGTGTCCTGCTGAGTGCAAAGATATTGGTCCCGTAGTGATAGGGCTAGTTGTGTTGTGGAGGCTGCGACGAGCCTCCCGAAGATAAAGGAGATGGTTATCTACATCCGGATGACTATCCGTGAGTTGTATTTTGGTATTGTGTTTCTTAGTGTATTGAGCACAGAGTGAGCCCACTGGGAATAATTGATCTCCAGGATGGGAGAGTCAGGTAAGGACTGCCGGAAGGCTTCCCACTTTGGTAGGTGAGCCTGTGCGATGGGGCGTTGTAAGGGTCGTGTAGAAAATGTAGTGTTGAGAATGCAGTACTCACTACCGAGGGTTTCCTCAGTATTGAACAAGTCTGCGTGTCTGATGTTTTTCGTGAATGTTAGGTCGGAGCAGGTGCCCCGGTTGACAGAGTTACCTACACGAGTTGGTTGCACGGGGTCTGTTTGAAGAGTCATGTTCAGCGTGGAAGGTAGCTCTGCAAGTTTCCTTCCACCCGCGTCTTTGTTGCGATAGCCCCAAAGCCTTCTAGGGGCTATTGAAGTCACCCACTAACAAAAGGGGGTCATGCCCGGCGAGCTTCAGTGCCCTGCTGAAGATGTCAGCGAATGTGATGTTTTTGAGTTTAGGTTTGCAATAAATATTAAGGATGTGCACTGGGAGGTCGGTTCTGTGCAGGGGAAGAACCATGACCATAGTGTACGAGTACGGTATTGAAATTTCGAGGTCGACCTCTTGCGTAGTCAAGGTTTTATGAACAAGAAGGCAGGTGAATGGGTCCCGTTGAAAAGTGTTATAACCTGAGAGGCGCACGGCGTTGCCGGGCTCTTGAAGGACAATGACGGCGCACAGGTGCTCAAATGTTTCAAGATAGAGCCGGAAATGGGCCCGTTTGGCCCTATCCTTGAAGCCTCTACAGTTCCATTGAATTAAAGAGAGTAACTGAGGTTTTCGGTGTGGCGATGTGGAGCAGTTAAGATGAGTCGCCATATTGAGA